CGGAGTCACGGAAATCACAAGTGCCCGATCAATACTGCAAGGTGTTCTCCAATCCTGCCGCCACTTCTGCTTGATAGTGATGGCTGAATGACGACTGCTCATGATTCCACTTGTTTCAGTGTTTCAAATGTTCACACACTTGCAATTTTTGCGATCCGTCGCGTGAATCGCGCAAATCGCGAAAATCGCGTGAATCGCGCAAATCGAAAATCAGCGAAACCTGCGACGGATCGCGGAACTCTGACACCAGCCTAGGCGTAAAATGCATGCAGCTGTGGTGTGGTGAAAATATGAAGAATGTTCTTGTCTCTGTGAATGATTCACAAAATCGCACGGAGCGGGTTCTTGAAAAAATGACTGCGATTACTTGCTTAGCGAACTAAAATGCAGTTGTACCTTATTTTCTGCCGCTTCTTATAGAGGTTGGCTGTGCTGTGAATTTCTCAGCTTTCCTTAGCCTCCGCTACTGATCGCTTCAGTGTTACCTGCTGTTGTCAAGCATAATGACGACGTGAATTTCAGTATTTCGATTTAGATCCGACAGATTTCGTGGTAGACGATGACCTTCTAGCGCAAGCTAAAAATTTGGGATTTTCCGAAGCAGACGCTAGAGCTGCGCTGGAAATGACGAGGTCTGGAATTCTACAACTATCCTGTTTTTTTTGACTTTGAGCCTCATTTAGGAACGACCTTGAAGCGGCATTGCAACATTTGTTTTCCAAAGCGGACGAGCTTTCGCATGCAATGGAGCAGTGATTTCTGCGTCTTTCATCTAATTGTAAATGTTGTATGCAATTATAATAACACTGTATTTACGCGGCGGTTTTGTAACAAACAGCAAGCCTTAATGTTGCATGTAATATATACGAGTCTTTTTTCATTTGCCGTTTTTTGTATAAATCTAGCAAGTTCGGTAGTTTAAAATTAAGCGATAAGAGAAGTTTTATGAAGGAATCTCATGTTCGCGTTCGTATCTACTATAAGGGTGTGGTTCGCTAGGAGTGGAAACGACCTTTGCCCAACCTGAGGTTCCCTCAGCGAGAAATGTTTCGCGCCTTGAAATGTGAAAAAAAGTTTTCTGTAATAGCAAGCCACACCCCCTACTATAAGAATTCAAACTACAGATTTTGAGTGTCTGGCTTGGTTGTCATCTACAAACCCGCGAAGTGTAACTTGTTTGGGTTTTACTATGTGCGTTTAGAATGCACCTGGTATGCGCGTGACTACCCCATGAGTTCCATGTTGCGTTTTTCTATTTGTGATGAATCTGCAAATTTTTGGATTAGGCGAACTTCTGATTTCAAAGAATAGCTCCAGATACGCCTGAGAAGACGTAGGGTGAGTCTACTCCGCGCTTATGTTGGATGCGGAATAGTACCCATTGAGAAATATAGTTCACTCCCCCCCCCCCCCCCAAAAAAAAAGCCGTGGAGCAGGATCTTATGTTGGGCATTCGACATGTATCTAGTTTTTTTTTATCTGATTTTACGAATCGGGTATAAGGCTTCATGCGCCTACAGGGCAATGGTTCATAGTTATCTTAAAGGACGAATTCACGATGAAAAAGCAACCCATTTCAAATTAACCTAGGGATGGTGAGTGGTACACGAAAGAAGGAAGAACCATGAGAAACGGCCCAGAACCCGAGAAATGGACCCCTTCCTTGCCCGTTGATTTGAGCATTGATGCGACTCTCATCGCTGTGCCCTCTTCAACACTACGCTCTCTCAGCTATCTAATCACTCGCCACGTATTGACTACGGCGAGTGATCAGATGATCGGTGGGCGGAGATCGCCGGACCCCCGCCAGCTTTGAGGCATGATAGGTCGCCGAGGTCAAATTTTTCCATGCGAATTGCGCGTCAGTTCGCACCCTCAGGAGGTCCGTGGGTCCCTCAACTAGGTCAGTTTCCCTTTCTTCGACCTTCATTCTAATCGTGAATTCCTCCTTTAAAAATGAATAAAAATGAATAAGCGACCATACGACATGTGAAGTTACCGAATAGGTGGAGCTTCCAAAAGGCAGATGGTACGACATATTGTCGCCATTATAAGTGAAAGGTTAAGGTGATGTATGGTGCTCTAGTAAAAAGTTGAAGAGAAACAGTTTGAATCTGTGAAGCGGGGCGTTCATTATATCCGTTGATTTTCACGTTGGGTGAGCCATTGACCAACACGGAGTTCTGAGCAGGGTGAAAATCGTGTCGAGGACGTGGTCGCAGAAGTACGACCCCCTGAAGTCGAGGTCTAGGCACGACCCCCGAGCATACGCAATTAATTTAATCAATTAACAGAAAAATTCCTGCAAAATAATGTTGTAAACAAACGCCTTCCCTTGTCATCTATGCACTTTCTTTCATCGCTGCACACTTTTGTGTATTTACTGAAATATCGACTCGAGGAAAGAGGCATTAACTTTGTGTGACCTCAAAGTCAGGTTCGTTCAGAAATGCACAGAAATCCTGAAGGCACGGGGTTGCGATTAATCTTAATTCCTGCTTGAGTATATCAAACAGCCGAGTGTATCGTTCAACGGCCGATTCGCTAGCGAATCGCTCGATTCGCAAACTATGACATCGACCTTAAGCCGCCTCAGATCCATCTTTCGTCTGCGCTCTCTCACCTTATCAGCGGCTCATGACCCATTGTGATCTCACACATTCAAACTTTTGCCACACTGTAGTTGGCTCACCCACCTCGGAGTCCCTCCCCCTACAAGGCTTAGTCCTAGGGCTCTCACCTCCTTCCTTGGGATTTGGAGCCGAGCCAGGCGCCGTTCTCTAATCTGTCTGTGCTCTCCGCCATTCGTGGCAGGACCATGGAAGAAAGTTCAAGTAGTCCGTAAACCATGCCAATGGGATCGCGCTATATGACCGCCCTCCCCGGCCTATGTTGGTTTGCTACACTACGCAGGAAATGCAACACCTACGTTGGGCGCGAAATTTGAATTGTGGACACGACGTTGGCTTTGTGCTGAGCATACAACCGTCCATTTCCCGTCAATAAAACTGGGCCTAATCTTGAAAGAAAGCTGAAAAGAAAATATTTTTATTCTTTCTGCCATTGTCTGGTATTGCAACTGGACAGAAGTGTTGCATGCTGGGTATACCGTTCGCTAAGATAGGAAGCAATTTTACGCCTTTTGTAGAACGAAGCTTTCACTGCGGGAACCCCAATCCACCCCTGTGAGTGGACCAAGGGCTATTGCATCGAAAAAGTTTCGCGTTGCAGAAAGCGCCGCCTTTTGTCAAACCACTCCAACCCTCGTAAGTCAGTCTTGACTTTAATCCAGAACTTCCCCTCCCGTGAAAAGCGCTTTGCAGATCCACACAGCAGACAGCATCCTTGGTTTGATGCGACGTAAAAGTTCTCTGGGGATCTTAGAAGGGGGGGGGGCTACTCGTTATTCCCATGTCTTGTAAGGGAGGAAGCCCGGGGTGGGATCCATTTTTTGCGAGGAAAGCTTCGGGGTGGGTGTAAATGTGAAAGCGAAATGGTTAGTGCACCGTGAGGATTTCCTTCCCCTGCAAAATAGGAATTTTTGGTCTGCTTCAGCAATTGCATCACATGCTCTTACTGGATGAGACCTTTTCTTGTGCGAATATAGTGAATTACCTTCTTCAAATGTTTATAATGAAGGAGGTAACCTCTGTTTCGTGCAGCCAGAAATCCACGTGGCACACGTGGCTAAATTCTCGATGAAAAGATGAGCATCACGTGTGCTTAACCCATTCGCGACCGCGCCGGTTTGCGCATTAGCAGGAGAGTCAGGAGATTTTTCTTCAATAAAATTTGAGTGGATGGAGATTCCCCGTGCCCAAGGCTGGCATAGATGAATGAGGGTATGAAGATTCTTTTCAGGAAAGAAAACTTTCCAAATTCCATTTGAAACACGGCAGCCACCGGTGGATACCATTGTACAAGTGAGATCTTTGTCAGCCACCGGTGGCTGCCATTGTCACGAATGGGTTAAAGATGTTCTTGAATCGATGCCACGTCAATGCCACGTCAATTTCTGCAATTGCACAATTTCTGGTCTTCTGAAGGCGAGGTTAGCTCTGAGGAGTGTGGTTCACTAGGACAGAAAGCGGATTTTCCGCTTTCGCACGCGAAACTTTTTTCGCTGCAAGAACCTCAGGTCCACCACTGATCATGGTGGACCTGGGTTCCTGCAGCGAAAAAAGTTTCGCGCTGCGAAAAGCGGAAAATCGCTTTCTGTCCTAGCGAACCACATCCGTAGTTGAAGAGGGGGGGGGGGGAATTGCATTTCGGTGGTGTAAGTTTTAAGAGTTTTGAAAGCAGGTGCTAATGGTGGAAGCATCAAAGCATGGCTGGGGGGGGGGGGGGGCAGTCGCCGCGCGCGGCTCAGCGATGTAGTGTAACTCGAACATTCCAGCTTCTCACGGAACATTCCAGCTTCTCACGCATGCTAAGTGACTGCCCTCACCCCCCCCCCCCCCCTGAATTGGCTACATTCCCCCTGGCTCACGAATTTCCTGTTGCCGCAACGCCGCGCGCGGCGGCTGCCCCCCCCCCGAGCCACATTGCGCCTTCAATTATAATGTTCGTGAAGATTTTGTGGGTAAAATCCGCGAAAATGTGTGTAACTGACAAATTCGAGGATTGAACGATGTGTTTTTAAGGTCATATTGTGCACTGCTGTATTTCGTGACTGGAACCAAGGACGTGTCGCCAAACACCGATCTCTGAAGCATAGCATATCATGGCGCACGAAAATGATGTAAGTTGTCTATTGCTTTTTTCCTCTAAATATCCATGCATTCGTTGGTTGATGTGGATTCTGAGAACGATGGCCGCGTACCCTACGAGCAAATAGAAAAATAGCATTTTGTAATTGCTGTGTGGGAAACCCTTACCTCTAAAACCGATTAAGGCTTCGACTCAGTGTTTTTCGAAGGTTTCAGGGCCAGCCAGGCGTTCAGAAAGCGGAAGATTCGGAGACACCAGATGTGATTAAAATCGTAACGAAGGACAAGTGCGTCTTCCACGTGCCTCGAGATGTGATTCATATGTCGAAAACAATCAAGACAATGATTAGCGATCTCGGTGTTGACAGCAGCGACCCGATTCCGATTTGTAATGTTTACGGTATTATTATGAAGAAAGTGCTGGATTGGTGCACATACCACAAAGACGACCCACCATTTGTTGAAGACGAGAACAAAACGAGAACAATGGAAATCTGCGCATGGGATAGGCAGTTCTTCAACGTCGATCAGGGAACAATATTCGAATTGATCTTGGCTGCAAATTACCTAGACATCAGAGGTCTGCTTGACGTTGCATGTCGAGTTGTCGCCAGCATGATCAATGGAAAAACTCCTGAGGAGATCCGCCGTACCTTCAATATCAGAAATGACTTCACGCCAGAAGAAGAAGCACGTATTCGTAAGGAGAACGCATGGGTGGAGGGATAAGGCATTGCTTAAAGGTTTTCGAAGGAGGATTACAAGCATTCCGTTCATACATTCATACCACTTTGTATTGTTATGTTTTCTTTAAATATCCGGTTTCGAAATGGTTCTGTTTTGCTACTCTGAAAGAGGATTATGTGCATTCCATATCAGCTTTATAAAATTACGAATGAATTTATGTATAACAGTACTACCTGAGCACATAAATGAGCGCACTCTCAAGTTCATACTTCTCTCTTGTGCTTTTGTGCCTTTCACAACGAGCAGGGCTTTGGTTAATCCTACCGTCAATGTTCTGTTGTCAAAGTTTCAGCGTTACGTACCCTATAATGATTATGCGGAAGATTCTGTGGAAGAACTCACGGAGTACTATGAGAAGATACTACGTGTTTCGGATGAACTTGAAGCAAAACGTCACGCAGAAGGGATTCCTGAACAATATAATCTTGATGGAACCGGTAATTATTGTGAAATTTTCATTTATTGATTATAGGTTGATTTTGATTTTGATGACCACTTCCCTCCTTGTCGCTGCGGGTCTCGCCGCAAGGACGTAAATCTGAGATCTTACACAGTTGTAACAGTATAAATTTCTGCGAATGTGCGATCCTTTGGATATGCCATCGTTCACTGGGTGTGCACAGCTCAACTTTAGGGCTTTGCTGCTCAAACACACTCAACCAAATAGCGCTTAACACGCAAAATTGACGGTGACGGTTGAATGTTATGTAGTTGTGTCCGGATATCTCAGACTCAAAATCGCAGGTCAGAGGAGCCAAAGATCAGTATTACTTGAATGGACTGTCTAAAAAACGAAATTTCAGCGAAGGTGCGGACCGAGATACCTCCTGAGAATGTTTTGAAGCGAGTAGAATACGAGGAGCCGCCCAAAGGTATCGAAGTGGACGAACGTTAGTCGATGTCATGCGACGACTTCATTCTCTTACAGCAGCAGAGATGCGCACCTTCCTCAAGCAAGTACATCAGTCTGGGCAGTGAGTGTTCATTTTTCTCCTTTATAAGCTCCATAGACGCTTATGAGGTCTTTTGACCACGGGAGAAAAAGAGATTCATGGTTACCACGATCTCCACCTGCCTGCTCGCGGTCAAGCTCCTTATTAGCACGACTGCACAGAAGCAGCAGCGGGCTTCCACGATTTACTTTCTAAATTTATTCGATGAAAAAGGTTCCTTATTTAGGCACGTCTTCAGTAACAAAGATACGGAGTAAGAATCGACCAATAGACATGAGTAATTGTACTCTGAATTACTGAAGAAATCAAGCTTTCGATTTGGGTTGATTCAGGGCATCGCCACGAACACTCGTGCAAGCGTTAACGCTCTATTACCCTGGGCAAGGATTCCATTATCCCGAATGCTCCACGAAGGAATAGTACTGCACTTTTTCGGAAACAAACCTGCTACACATTTACTTCTACGTGTTTCTGTGGACCTGCCTCATAATTCATAATAATGATATAGAGATGAAGAATTAGTCCGGACATTGAACGACTAAACTGGTTAGAATGACTTATTGCATTAATACCGAAAACAACCCATCGACTACAGCGCATCGGGACTTTGGGATGCACTGCGTTGAGGTTATTAGTCGATTATCCGCTGAGATATCCGCGTTTCTTCCTGCACTTATGAATTGACTGTCCCGCGCGCCAAAAAAATGTAAACTTTCATTGTGCAATCTACTCAATTAATTCCTATAATCTTCACGTAGCTCATTCCCAGCTTGCAAAGCGAGGTTGATAACCACGATTTATTTGACTGACTTCTTGCTGTTATCGCTTTTTTCAGAGCCTGGAAAAAGGATAGGCACTTTGTAAGTCACTGGTAAAGATAAAGTTTTGACCTGAAGCGGTCACATTATACGGAATGAATAACCTCTCGTGTGCACGAGTGGGTTTCGATGTGCCTTCCCTCTTCAAGGGCTTAGAAGAATGCGATCACGACAAAACGATACCCAAATGAATTGTTATTATCAACATTATAAGCAAATAGAGTAGAACTCGCGCATTTTCAATTCCTCATTTTTGATTCGATCTTCAGGTGGACACATTTCGCACATTTGTGAGGCCAGAGAAGAATCCGACTCTTGATCCATTCTGCGTTCAGCTTACCGGTACTTCTTTTTGTAGCTATAAACCTAGCAAATATTGGACAAACTCCCTTTCATTTCTGTTATTTTCGAAAGCATGATATTAAACACACTGTACGTCATAGTGCCCACCGTCGCCATGTTTGTTCAATATCTGAGTACAATTTTAATTTTTAGGAATTTCTCAAAGCACGGTTGACTCTGCTCCAGTGTTCAAAGATGCCTACAGACTTTTTCGAGACTGGATGGCACATCACAATTTAGGCGACAACGGTCACCGTTATGCCTTTGTGACTGATGGGTGAGTAGGCCGACGTTCCTACTTTTTCACATTTAGGTAATTTTTCCTATTTCCCTTCCCTATTAGTATTTTTCCCTTTTTCACCCTTATAATCTTCTTTGAAAGGTTAAAAGTCAGTCAAACGCCACCACAATTTCAGAAGTGGATGTGGAATGCGTGCCGCATTCCAAGGCACGCATTCCACTTCCATTTGTAAATTCGTAGTGGCGTTTGAATGCGATGTGGCCTATACAATGACTTGCGGGGCCAGCCGATGTACAAGTCAGTGTTTTTATCCTCCCAGACAAGTCTGGTACCAATTAACCGACCCCGGAGGGATGGAAGGCTTGGTTGGCCCGGGCGAAACTTCCACGACCCAGGGTCGGCGAATGGTACCAGACTT